GATAGCCATTAGGAAGCTACATTTGTCAAAGGCTCCGCAGTGCCATGTGTAAGCAGACAGAGAACCCCTTTGAGGAACTCTGCATGAGGATCTCTTTTTTTTTCCTTGAGGGCTAGTACAAGTAAGACATAAAAAATTGTAGTTTCTTGGAAACAATTCCATAAGTGAGTGAATGATACTTTGTTTCCTGACGCAATTGAAGTGTTTAGGAAGGGCTCAACTCCTCCTTTCTAATCCTCTCATCATACAAGAACAAAGCAAATCTTCATGAAATTATAAGACAGTAAATTTACTTCATTCTGCATTGCTTAGTGAACTAGAGAAATTCACAAAGGAAGGTGGTTTTAAAGAAAATGAGTGATTATTATGCTAGTAGCAGTGATAGTACTAGTGCATATATTGTTGCAACATGAAAATGTTTACAGAACTGAATCCTGTGCTTTGACATTATTCTGGTGATCTGAAGGGGCCAGGAAAAAAATTCTTCCTCAGATAATCCTGTCTGAACAAATGTCCCAACATGTTTGCCTCTGACTGTCAAGGAGTAGGTACTGGGCATACTAGAAACAGGATATCAAATTGCTGAGGGTAATGGACAGGATAGAAAATTAGGCCAGTCTTCATAAATTGCCATAGCTCTGTTGCCTCTGCTGCTATGATAAGTCAAAGCTGTGCCAGTTCATATCATGAGAGGCTCTGCCCTCTGTAAACTATGCAGCATTAATGGGTACCTTCAAAACCAAGGGGAATTAATAGGTTTGACTAGGTGCAGTCACAGTAGAGACCATAAATTAGATAACAAATTCACTGTGAAAAGCGTGTAACTGTAACAACAGCTGTGCTCCAAGGTCCCACATGGAATTAAATCTAATTTAAGTGTTTCTCCTGGCTTGGCAGAAACCATATGTTTGCAAGATACCAGGCTGCACAAAGCGCTACACAGACCCCAGTTCTCTCCGGAAACATGTGAAGACCGTGCATGGCCCGGAGGCACACGTCACCAAGAAGCAGCGGGGAGATATCCACCCGAGGCCTCCACCACCGAGAGACCCAGGCAGCCACTCTCAGAGCCGGTCACCAGGCCATCAGACTCAGGGTGCAATTGGTGAGCAGAAGGACCTCAGCAACACTACCTCAAAGCGTGAAGAATGCCTCCAAGTGAAAGCGGTCAAGTCAGAAAAACCAATGGTATGCAATACACCGTGCTGCTCCCTTTGTCCTTTTTCTTCTTGCAACTGGCTAATAATTCCTTTATGAAATGCTCAAGCCCGTAAACTCTAGCTCACAAGGTTACGTTTTGTGAGCTTTTCTTTTTCATTTACATTGTAAAATGTTTTTAAAGCCTAAGAAATAGCAAATAGAAAGATTACATCTAGTCTGTGCAATATGCAGTAAGTGCAGTGTTGGCAACTCTCACAATAATTGTTTCTCTTAAAGCTCCATCTTTTGGAATCAGCATATTATGAGAAAATCACAGCTTTCATTTTTAAAAAGGCATTTTTTTCCACTCTCCTGTTTACAGAAGAAAGTTAGAGAATGTGAATCCTGCAGGCCAAAAACCAGAATGCGAAAAAACCTAAGTCCAAAAGACTAAAATGATGATATTGGTGAAGATAATTTTTGGAGAACCTGGGGAAATGATCAGATTTTAGGGGCTTGAGGTTGTCGGGTCATGGATCAAACTGAAGCAGGGTAAATTGACTTTCTTAAACAGCAGGAGGAGATCTTCTGATAACTTTTGATCTCTATTGTGACATGACCTCTTACGTTAACCTGATTCTTAATTTAACTTGACCAAGTTAACCTAATTCCAGTTTAACTAAATTGAGCTGAATTAAGAGTCTCTGCAGGTCTTTTCACTGGTTTACCTTAATGTATTGCATTAAACCAGTATAGCCTTGAACATTGAAAGGACCTTATTCCATTTTTTGACGTGCTATCTTAAATAAAGAAGTTCTTCCTTCGTTTGCGTGCATTTCCTGTGCCATCTATCCTCTCCACAAGGGTTAAAACTAGCAAAGGCAGTCACTCCATCCTCTTCCACATCTGGGCCTACAATTCATCTGGGCCCAACCCTCGGAGACTGCAAATATGAGCCCTCCAAACTCTGCTCATATTGTTAATCATGCTGCAACTCAAAGTGATTACTCATTGAAATAAGAGTTACTGCTGTATTGTGCCTAAGGCTTATGCCCAAACTGTGGAGTATTAATCCTGAATTCAGAAACTTCCAAGGGCCCAGAGTTAACTCCTGCTG